TTTAAAGAAACTAAATAAATAAAGGATTTAAATTGATTTAGGGGAATAAATTAAAAGAAGAAAAAATAACAAGAATTTTTGTAAAGTAATCAATCTGAACGGCAAATAATATTTTTATTTTAAAATATGCGCCCATTCAATTTCCGTTGTATTGTTGAAAATGCAAAACAGAAAAATGCTTCGTCATAATCAATTATGAATTACATGAATCATGTAAATGGCAGACCTACTTTCCATTCAAAAATGCGGATTTTGACCAAAAAAAAAAAAAAAAAAAAAAGTAGAATAGCTTGCATCACTGGATAGCCTATTGTTGGTCGTTTATGTCATAGAAGGGGAACGCTACATTTCGCACCGACTGTTGCTATAGTAACGAACGCAACTTTCATTTCACTCTTTACTTTGTTTTCATTCTTACATTTAGCATTAACAGCAACAGCAAGCCAAAAGGGGTAAGCTTTCAACTGAATTGTATAGCCTAAGCCTACATGCATTTTAGATGCTTATATTTTGCTCTTGCCCCGTCCATGCAATGAATGCATGCTATTGTATGAGTGTTTTTTTTTTTTAAACATTAAACTGCTCAGGTAATTTCTGTGGTAGGCTATGATACATATTCATGTAGCCTATTAAACTCCCCGTAACTCACAAACTCCCCGTGATAGCGTGCAAATATTTCTGCCCGTTTTCGCTCGTCGTCAGCCTCTGCTTTTCTGCAACAGACTGAAGCTCTGCATAAATTCAGCGCGCCTTGCATTCAGCTAATAAAAGAAAAATGCTTCAATTTTCTGATGTTATTTTATTATTGTTGGGGCAGTCTCCAGCTATATCTTAAACTTCTTAAAATACAGTCCGCTTCAGATTGGTTTTAATTGCTGCATAAAAAAATTAACGCAATCTTTATCTAATTCTGATTGGGTGGGCAAGACGGTCATTTGGGTGGGCTCAGCCCACAGCTGCCCATGTCTGGAGCCGGCCCTGTTGAAAACAGTGTCCAGTATATTCTTTATAAATGTACCTTTTATATATTTATTGAATCAAGTTTTGAATGACATATAGGCGAGTAAACAATGACAGAATTCATTTTTAGCAATGCAATTTTTGCATTACTGCAAAAAGATATCACATATTCAAGCACACTTACCAAAAGAACATGTCAGACTCAACCAGTTTCAAATGATTGAAGGCTAAACAAGCAATTTTATCACAAAGCACGCTGAAAATAAAAATGATAATACTACGTTACAGTACAAAATTATTCATTCATTATTTTCTTTGGGTGCCATTGTGCTAGTACTGTTTGAATGAAGTGAGGTGCCATGTCATTTTGTACGCATGATTGATTGGTAAAGAACCCACAAGGGCTGAATATCCTGTCCAGATATCTTAAACTTCTTTAAATACAGTCCGCTTCAGATTGGTTTTAATTACTGCATAAAAAATTTACGCAATCGTTACCTAATTCTGATTGGGTGGGCGAGACAGTCATTTGGGTGGGCTCAGCCCACCCCTGCCCATGCCTGGAGCCGGCCCCGATCATCTGACGAGTTCATGTATGCTGGTTTAAAAAGTTTAAAAGTGGTCGGTAAGATTTTAATGTTTTTAAACAGGTCTTTTTTGCTCACCAAGGCTACATTTATTTGATCAAAAACACAGGAAAACAGTGAAATTGTGAAATATTATTACAATTTTAAATAAGTTTTACAATATTTCAAAATGTAATTGATTCCTGTGATGGGAATGCTGAATTTTCTGACAGTCTTCAGTGTCACATGATCCTTCAGAAATCATTTTAATATGCTGATTAACAGAAACATTTCTTATTATTGTCAATGTTGAGAATTGTTGTGCTGCTCACTATTTCTGTGGCAACTGTGATACATTACTCTTCTGAAATTTTGTTTAATAGAAAGTTTAAAAGAGTAGCATTTATTCGAATAGAATCTTTTTGTAACTTCATGAATGTCTTTACTGTCACTTTTGATCAATGTAATACATAATAATCAATTTAATTGCTAAAAAAAATAATATTTATTTCTTTAAAAAATATACTGGCCCCAAACTTTTAAATGGCAGTGTATATGTTTTTCTTTTGTATGATGTTATATTTTATTAATGAACCAGGTATATACTGTAATGCTATGAGGTCATTTCTTCCGAACACTGACAGTTAATTTTGACGTTAATTTTACATTTTGATACGACCAGGGCCCAAATGCCCCATGTTTAATCAGGGATGTTTTCATTTTCCTACACTGCAGTCTAAGTCCTCGGAGGGAACATGACAACACATTCACCTACCTTCAATTTCTGAGATCTTTTTCTCTATTTCTTTTTCCATAACTTTCTGTCCAAATTTGATTTCAGCCACCTGAGCCACCTTCTCTGCCTCTGCACACATAAAAAAAAACAGAGCAACATTCTTTCACTTTTATATGAACTACAACTTCATCTAAATCCAACCCATATGACCGAACCCGCTCAGCTCATCAGGCTGAAAACTAGGAAAAACATCTTTGTTCACCGATGACAGCCTTTTTCCTCTCTGTCTCTGCCTCCTTCTCAACCACCTTCTGAGTCTGAGCCGCAATCAGTAACTTCGTTCTCTCACTCTCCCTAAGAGAGAGACACACATGCACACACAGCTGATAAGGATTGACAGAATTGTCTTATATAAAGATCAAAATACATTTTTGCATTTCAGATATAGAACAACAAGTTAAGCTGTAACCAGGGTCCAAAATTAAGACTCACCATGCACCATATGTGAGAACAATGCTACTTGCCAGTTGGCTGGTAACTTTATTAGGAACTGCAACATAATACATTTAGTCTCACTAATGAAAATGATGAGTGATAAAAAAATACACAAATGCAGAAAATACTAACTTCTGTTTTCTAAGATTATTAGAAATCTATAACCTATTAAGTTAACCGAATTTACCCTCATTGTTAGCCATTGTTATCCAATTATTTGGACATATATGTGCAATATTCCTCAAACTTAATCACCAAAACTAAATTAAGGAACAAAATCAACAGAGAATGGCTATTTTTTTTTGTGTATGATACTGCGAGTAATTAATTCTTCTGTAGGTAGATTAATAATTATATTTGGAAAAAATATGATTCCTTTGTAATAAGATAAGTAAGAAACATTTATTACCTGTACATTGACTGTTTGGTGGTGTTAATTTTGGGCCCTTGTAACACAATCAGATCATTAACAGCTATTACATACAACATGCAAGAAGTTCTCATAAACTCACATTAGTTCATAGTTCCTGCGAATGCTTTCTGGAATGTTTGGTTTGGTGACACGGACTGCCTGCTTAGGAGGGAGAGGAACAGAAGAAAGAGAAAGCAAAGAGAGGAGACAGTAAGAGAAAAAAACTGAAGACAGTCAAACATCACTTTTGTTAATAAACAAAATTTAATTAGATATTTGGCAGAACACTGTCCTCACAAAGAGACTCTGTTATGCAACAATTTAACATTTTTATTTTTTTGCTGGAAGGGCCTTGGGAAACAGCAGGAAGCATGAATACACAAAACCAACATTGATCTCAGGAAAATTAGTGGATATGGTCAAATACTCCTCATGTGAATCACAGCTAAATGTGCATCATGTGAATGACACATTACCCACAAAAGCTCCATTAGAGAATTCAGGAAGGAATACAAGGAATTGTGAATCAGCTTACTGATGATCTCAGTATCATCTCAATGAGCTGATGACTAGCATATTTTTAGTGCTACCAGATGAGAAACAATAACAATGGAAATCTACTGCTTGCACAGCTGATTATCATAATTGCTGTTTTTAAGGGTCTTTGCTCAAAAAACGTGGTCCAGCACCAAAGGGATTCGATGAAGGAAATCTGAATCTTGCCAAACCAAAGCTAAATAAAGAAAGATAAACACATGAACAAAATACACAAAGAGCTTATATGCAGTATCTTATCTTAGGTCTAACAAAATGTCAAAACAATAAAGTCTTGAATGTTTTGGTAATGAGTTATGAAAGCCCATGTTTACCTTTCCTTTCCTTAACATTCAAACGAATTGTTAACGTATAACCGGTGCAGAAAATGGAATGCCGACAAGAACGTAACTCAGTGGAATGTAACAGAAAAAAAGATTGAACTGCCAAACCAATCCAAGTTGAATCCCACCTGAATGATGAGTCCAGGTGCCATGCTGGTGAGATCCTGCTGCAGCGTGAGCTTTAGATTCTCGTCTATTTGATCTAAGAAACAACAGGCTACTTAAAGAATGACAGGTGTACACAGAATTTATACCCTTAACTTTTTGTTTTCTCATCACACACAACAACTGCACATAAAAATCACTTGAGAAGCTTATGGCACTAACAACATGTCAAACATCTCCACATTACCACTAGAGGGCTGTAACACCATTACTATTAACTACCCTCACACCATTGTGAAGTGCATTCATGGATGAAATCTAATGCTATTATGTTCTCACTCAGAAAAATTCTCCAAATATATTTTTTACAAATTCAAATCAATTACTGTAAGGAATTACTGTAATTGAAGGAGTCATTTTCTGATTCCCAAACCTTCCTAGTAAATTATATATTGCACATTCAGTGTCTTCACATTTTAGCAGGGAAAAATATGCATAAAATGATTTAAATAAAACAAAAAACTGCATTCACAGAAATGCACTTCAAATGGGAGTCTATGCAAAGCAGTTGCATTGACATATAGATTTTAAAGAAGCAAAATCTTACCAAACTTACTGGCATCAAATCACCCAACATGGCAACAATCCCTGATTAGGACATTACAGCACATCACTTACCGAATAGACCAATGTAGACCTCCTGAAGTGAGTGCACACTACAGAACTGATTCAGCTCATGGTGAACCTTGTTGAAAATCAGAGCTTTGTCGTAGTCGGCAGTGAAGTTTCTCACAATGCCATAAACTGCAGCAGAGCAGACAATGATGTTATGAGAGAGATGAATAGGGCACATAAAATAAATGACAGTCATAGTCTGGCTCGTTGCTTAAATTCATGGGGAGTGGGATAAAACATTTATTGGCGAGTAGGCTATGCCAAAGAGGCTCTTAGTGGGCCCTCCCACATTACAGGGCCCAGGGAAATGTTCCCAGCTGTCCACCCCTAACAACAGCCTTTTTAGTGGTTCTACTTTATAAATGGCAAAAAAGTCATTTTACCTGCTGAAGGAGCAAGATAGTTCACAACCTCAATGCGATCAAAGTAGATCATTACACCTCCACTGCAAAGCAAAAAAACATGTTGA